CTTCCTTTGGGTCTAAAAAAAATTTGTTGACTTGCCTCCACAGGTAATTTCCTGTTTGTCACTCATTATGTATCATTTTGTGCCTTTCACATGATAGTCTGAGCAGCTAAGGTAGCATTTCTTTTCTTCGAGTGAGGTTTTGCACGTTTGGATGATTTTCTGATATGAGACTTGTACATAAAACTTATCACTGTCAGGTGATATTTAGCGCCCTCTGATTTTGCGCATTTGATAGTGCTATATAATCTTTCTGGTTTGGTGCCTTCTTTTGATAATTACTTTATCATTGTCAGAGTCTTCTGTGTCATGCAATAAATAATTGCAAATACTTGTTTATCTCATCATCTTTAAGTGATGCCTGGGCATGAGGTGCATGGGTATGCTGTGAGCTGCTGCTCATGTGCTACCCATGGTTGCTGTGTTAGTACTGAGGCCCTCACACCCAGGAGGGTGTGAGGGCACTCACTCTCATGATTTTTTTCCAAGATGGCATCTGTTTACTGGAGGCTTGAGGAGGTGGTTATTGAGCCCTATGAACCCACAGGAGTTTTGAAGACCAAAAATCAACCCTGGTTGATAGCAGCTGAATGGTTAAGCAAGTCGCTTGCTCCGATGACGTCGCTTGTATACCATCTTTACTGATCTTCTACAGTGTGTTTTGGGGCTTTTGTTTGTGAGCTAGCTAGTTGAAGGTAATATGTTAGTCAGGTGCCATCTGGGGGTGGTGGTGGTGGTGTGTAGAAGTAACCAGGTAGTGGGCAGTAGGAAGTTTGAGAGATCATCTTATGATGTGGTTAGAACTCGTCTATTTACCATTTATGGATTTTGTTTGAAGCTGAACTTTACAAAACTTCAATCCTTCAAGGTTGGAGTGAATATTGTTTATCTCCATAGCACCAGTATAACCCAAGAGATCTTAAGCCTAGCCTCTCCTGTACTCAGGAGGTTCTTGCCCTTAATAGCAGCAGAGTTGTTTGTTCAGGAAACTGCTTTTTATTTGTGAAAAAAAAATCATTTACAGTTCTTTTGTACTTGAATATTTTCTAGTCCACATTTATCCATTTCAAGTGTCTAATTTGACATATGGAAATTTGAGCAACCAAGATTTTTGTTCTTGCTACCCAAACTCTTAAAATGTGTGTTTTGAACCTTAACGTTAATTATCATTTTCATCCATGTTGAGACATCTCCTCTTCTTCCTGTATGGCTTAACCAGACTTGCTGGCACACACTTGTTCTACTCACAAATAATGCAATAACCAGAGTAAAATTAATGAAAATGCTTTGAATAATGAGAGGTTGACTACTAATATATGCAGGACAGGTGTGTAGTGTGGCTAGGCCTGGGCCCATCCATAAAAAAGTTGTATCATACTGTGTGCATTATATACAGTTTACACAAAGAAATTAAAAACCAAGATGATTTAACACTTTTGGTCTTCATTTTCTAAAAGATAATATGGTGCAAGAGGCCTAACCCCATGATGTGTGTGTGTGTTGCAAAGACATTACCATTATATGTACAACCAGTAATAAAAACAAATGTTTATATTTGGATTTTTGGGGTCTATCTTGTTTAATTTTTAAATTTAATTTAATTTCTAATTAATTTTTAACAAGAACAAGATTAGCTCTTTCCATAGGTAACATGAAAAATAATTAATAGAATTTTAAGGTGTTTGCGATAATGAGGTGTGGATGTTTAGGAAACACTGTACATTACAGTAACAACAATGGCAAATTATAATTGCCATGTTATTTCAATTTGAGTTAATGCGTGTCTGTAAAACTGTTAAAATAATGCATTGAGAAGTGTGACCTTTAAAATTTGAATGTTATTCTAATGGATATCTTAAAAATTTGGAAGGATTTTGCTATCGGAATACTAGTTCAGAACAAGGATTGCGTGGGAAAAATTATTGTTGGTAACATATCTTTCCCTCACTGCATTGGATAAAAGATGCTAGTTTGTTGAGTCCCACACAAAACTCTAGTATTTAATTATTTGAATTATTTGATCAAAATTTAGATAGTCTATTCAGTGATTAGTTATTAAAGTTCAACTTCAAACTTGAATATTTAGCCAGCTCAGTTGGGTGAAGTTTATTTTTAAATAATTTCTTATTTATGAACATCACTGAATGGACTAAATAATATTTATGAATTGATAATTAATTGTAGTTTAATTTGTCTATACAACAACTGTTAAGCAAATTAAATGGAGGTAGAACTGTAAATTTCTCGGCTTGAAATGTGCAACATTGAGGCTAGTTTTCTCTCAAATATCCAATATGGCCATTTGGTGTTGGCATAGGTTTCTGGAACAAGGCATTAACCCTGGACTGCTCCTACTGGCAATTCCACTGTTAGAATCACGATACTGGTATACAATTAATAAAATTATAACCTCATTGATTGTTCGTTTAAATTGAGTTTTGAAAAAAACATCACAATATGCATGGAATCAGTGTCTACATAACCCTGGGCAACATGGGTTCAGAACAGGGTGCTCCTGCCGTTCAAAATTCCAAGACCACTGTGACTTGGTCTTAGATGTCATAAAAGACAAACAAAATAGTGTTGTAATATACACAGATTTTGCTAAAGCTTGGGCAGATGTGGACCATGGTGTTATTGCACATAAAATAAATAATAAATAAAATAAACAGCACCCAAAGCGTAATAGTTAACAAAAGTAAAATCTGAATCATCCACCGTGAAATGCTCAGTTCCTCAAGGTTCTGTGTTTGCTCCAGTACTTTTTCTCATCCTCATATCAGACACAGATGCAAACTGTAACACCGTATCATCCTTTGCAGATGAAACTAGGAGTTTCATAAGAGCAAACAATATAGAGGTGACAACAAACCTCCAATCTGAAGACCTAATCAAGTCTTTCAATGGGCTACAAAAAATATGATGCTTAATGAGGATAAGTTCTAGTTATTGGTCTGTGGGGAAAAAAAACTAAAATATCAAAATAGAAACCTCTTACAAAATGGTCAAACCACATTATTGGAAAAAAAAGTGTAAAAGATTTGAGTAATGTCAGAAGACCTTTTAAAAATCACAACAAAGTAGCTGTCACAACTGGAAGAAAAATGACAGGTGGATAACAAGAACCTTTCAAATGAGATCCTGTACCATACCAATGATACTTTAAGACACTGCTGCTCTCTAGCATGGAATATTGTTGCACACTAACAGCCCCCATTTAAAGCTGGAGAAATTGTTGACCTGGAGAGCATGCAAAGATCTTTTACTACTACAATAAATTCAATGAAACATCAAAATTATTGGGACTGCTTAAACATTTTAAATCTGTATTCTCTAGAGTAAAGGTTGAAGGGGGAGGGGAAGACAATAATTTTCACTTGCAAAATATTGTACTAGAACCCGTTCCAAATCTGTATACAGGATATAACACAGACCAGAAGGCATGGCAGGATGTGCAAAATAGCCCCCATTGAAATATGGGTTCATTAGACACACAGAGAGAACTGTCAGCATCAAAAGCCTGAAACTTTTCAACTCTCTTCCTCTACACATAAATGGCATAAGTGGCTGACCTCTCAGTGTTTAAAAGAGAACTTCATAAACACCTTTAAAGGATACCTGATCAACTAGGCTGTGGCTCGTACATCAGATTGTGGGCAGCTGCACTGAACACCCTGGTTGACTAGACCACCACCCAAGAGACTTGGCCAGAGACCTGGCCATGGGGACATTGATGCTTGGAATCAAGAGGTATATATATACCCAGTATCATTAATACTAGACAATCATATATTTATTTTTTGTCTTTTGTAATAAATATTACTACTTTATATAGTTGTTTTTATGAATTATTTATTGAATTATTAAATAAGTAAACAAATTTATTACACAGTTGAAATAAAGTGTGACTTTTGTGGATGGTCCAATTGTAGCGGCACAGTGTGAACATGTCTTGGAAATGTTAAGTTTCCTCCGAAATAATGCGACCTTTCATTACTAAAAGGATTTTCATTTTTTTTTTTTTTTTTTTGGTACTGTACTCCATTTTTTGTGAGTAGAAAAATGTCTGCAAGCAGGAGCAATCTGGCTAGATCAGGTAGGAAGAAAAATAAATATATTGAATGAAATTCAAAATGAATGTTGAAGAGTAGTATTGTCAGGGAATAGCTAACACCACACTACACAGTAGGCTGGCTGATTAGTGTGATGTTAGAATTAACACATTTCTATAACATTTTTATTTTCTGTTTTGTATTTAAATTACTTGCAAGGAGAGAGCTCAATTGTAAAGAAAATTGACAAATGCTCAATGGTTTCAGTTTGTTATATATCGTGCACTTTGCAAGGATGAATGTGAACTACTAACAAGAAAAGTATAAAAATAGTTTGTTATATTTGTACAGTAGTAAGATCTTTGATTTTGTACTGCATTGCAGGAACACTAAAATGTGTGTGCTGTAATTGTACTATAAATGCTAAATGTTTAGATGTTCAGTATTTGTGACACTCCAGATAACGTCCCCAATGATATAATCCAGATTTTTGAGGATGTACTATATTTTTTTATTACAAGAATTCTCTCTTAAGATAAGTCTTGTAGTAATTGTAATAAATTTATTTTTATTAATATGAAAAAAGGGGGAATTTGATTATTTTAGCACAGTAAATATCAACACAAGATGTGTTCTGCATGCATGCAAAGAACTGTCAATAAACTAGGGAATGATGCTGCATGTGCTCTAATGCTAGGGATACTGATGATAATATTTACACTGCACAATTAGGTAATTAAAACATGAAAGAATGAAGCTTGCTGTTAAAATAACATTTTAATTGCACTTAATAAGGATTTAAGCTATTTGTATAAACTTCATTACTGAGCTGATTCCTGTGAGTTTTTTCTTTAAGATATAAGTAGAATAATTATGGGTGAAAGTCAAAATGCTGGGTTGCTTCTTGGTTGGCACTTTCTTTAGGCGGGCTGGATATGTTGAATATTGCAGGCCGCAGTATTATGGGGGACCTCCCCCTGGGACGGGGCCAGCTGCTGGGGGGATGCAGGTGCACCCGCCCCCTCCAGGCAACCCCCCGGCTGGGGCTCAAGGCCCCACAAACTTTCTTCATGGCGCTGCTTCTTGGAACCCACAACAGCGCACCATCAATCTTGGCGGCTGGAAGATCTCCCCGGCTTACTCTCGGGACGAATATGATGCATAGTGGCCAAGCATCCATCCGGCCCTCTGCACTGCTGTATGACACACTTCTTGTCCTCTGATCTCAACCTTTATTGTAGCTGTAATCATGAATTTTCTCATGGCTGCTATCTAGATATCTTGTGATGATTTACCTACATGTTGTTTGTTAATTACTGTATGCAAGGCATCCTTTGGTGGCTTTTAATATTTAGAATTTAAGCATAATTAGTTGTTTGTGTTAGGGTTATGTTTGTGTATAGCATGTCTCTAGTTTTTGCATGTAGCTTAATGGATAGAGAGCTTGCTGACATTACTGTAGTGTGATATTGAGCACCCCAGATCGCTTCGTGTATATAGATAATGTTAAGTTGGAAAACACAGCCCGAGTGACTTCTTCATTATGACATGTGACTTGTACAAAAAATTTATACATAATTTTTTCTTGCCTTTGTTAATGAATTGACCAGACTTATTTAATTGACCAGAGCACGACCGACTGCCCTAACCCACTGCACTAATCGACTAAACATGGACAGGTAATTCATCAGTTGTTGCGCAAATATTTGCCCGAAAAAGTATGCTATTTGTTCAGTAGTTAGCTGTGAGCAGGTCTATAATTTTGATGGTCTATAAATTTAATTGAGCAATGAAAAATATTTATTCTTAAAATCTGAAATTTATATATGCTGAAGATCTGCCTGCAGCTTGTAACACTAATGGAACAGTTTTTGGTGATAGTCGTGATCCAAGGCTCTGAAGTATGTGGACAATACTTCCACTCTCCATGTTTACATAAATCACCACCACCATTTGTTATCAACTAAGAGCTTTTACTCATGGGAGAGACAGCCTTGGTTTATGAAAATATATCTTGCTTTTGGATGTACAGTATGCTGAAAGGATTCTTTGTCATTTAGATTTATTTGAAATCTAAGTTTTAAGTTCAATAATTGAAATTTGTTGATTTAATAGATAACTGTTCTCTTTTTAATGTTTTTTATAAGAATGATTTTGACTTTAAATTTAAATATCTTGCAGTGGCCTTACAGTAATTATTAATTTTGACTGTAATGACATGTAGGAAATTTTTTTAATATGCACTTATCAGATAAATATGACTTCTTTATTTCATCTTTCAGTGATGCATAGAAGATACCAGGGAAAAAAGCCAATGGTTGATGATGTACCAAAGTGTTTTGATAGTTGGCCTTGAAACAAGACCGTGCTTTACATCACCTCGTCAATTACTCGCAACAAGGCATTTTAGCTCATTGAAAGCAACTTATCTAAATTTGTTCTAGTTATTAACAAAAATTTTTATTCGCATCTGAAAAGATTTGTTCCAAGAACAATGAACATTCCATAAAGATTAAAAAGATCTTGACAGTCTTGTGAATTTCCAGATTAAAGAAAAGTTGAGAGGTTGCTGAAACCTTTGTATTGAAACATGATATCTCACTCTTTGGTGATATTGGTTGTTGTTTAGTAAACAAATAGCTGGACTTGTATTCATAGAATTTCATACCTGTTAATCATCTGTGAATAACTGTATTAAAACTGCCAGTTTGTCTCCCTGTTAAGTGTGTAGATTTTCAGTGCTTAAACTAGTTTCACATAGAGAAACACTTTAAAGACTAGTGCAGAGTAGAAACTAGATTTCTCAAAGGAGCTCAGAAAAGCTCCGAATGCAGTGATAGGATAATGCTGTTATGCGACTATGAAAAATATTCCAGTACTAGATTTTTGTGATTCTGCTGTGTTTTGAATTAGATATTGCTTTAACCTCATGTTCATTGGAAGAAGGAAGAACTGCTTAATGTTAGTAAGTTAATTGCTGGCAGTAAAATATGTGGTATTCAGCCTTTTCTTCATAATAACATTACCTCTTTAGGTCTGATTTAGGATATCCCAGGGGTGTCCACATGGGAGGGAATCTCTGGATCGAAATCTGAAAACGCCATTTGAGTTATAATGAATTAATCTTTGCTGCAGACCAAGTGCTCTTCAAATATTCAAGAGTATATCATGGGTTAAAATAGTACATTTGAATTATTACATTAACAGTTTAGTAGATACTAGTTATGTTAATGTCCTCCAGTGGTGTTGATGTTTCTGGTCTTTATGTAGACATTTTCATAATGGACTCCATCACATGTGGATACAACAGTGTGCTTATTCAGAAGTTCTGGTTGAAGATTGTGATAAAATCACCAGTTTTGAGTTTTATCGTGGGAGGAATGTCATTTCCTTTCGAACTGTTGAAAGGTGAACTGTATTTTTCTTTCAAGGTTCATCACTGATGATCTTGTCACAACTGCTTTTAGTGATTGTATCCAGAATTAAGTAATCCTAGATATCATGATGTATGTCAAATGCTGCCATTTATAGAAGGCACATCCTTTACTTAGTTTAGGAAGTGACATTTGATACTATATTAGGCAGAGATTAAACCCTCCAACTAGTTTTCCGAGAGCAGATTTAAAATCCTACAAAACCATATTAATCCCATCGTTGTCTAGCTGTTTTAGGTGACTTTTGATGAGAGTATATTTAATTTTCAATAATATCTTGCTTTTAACTTTGAAGTAAGGCTTTGTAATTTTTGGACAAATATCAGTATGTGATAGTATAATATGGGATTAATAAAATTTAACATACTGTAGTTCCTTCAGTCTGTTGTAAGTAACTACTGAAAATCCTTCGCTATATAAAACGAGATCAAAATGTATATATGCCACAAGAATTATATGGTCTCTTATAAAATTTTAGGATTGAATATGAAGTGTACTCAAATTTAATGCTAAACTTTTATATAAATTTTATAAAACTGACTAGCAGCATTTATGATAGCAAAATTTTAAATGGCATCTCCAGAAAGAAAGCCAAGTTGGTAAAAAAAAAAATAGCACCAGCAGCTATCTTTTACTTTCAATAAATTATCTTAATTTTTTTGTAAAGAATACCTCAATCATCCAATTGTATATACTGTATTCTCTTGTAAAAATTGTACTTGTGTGGTGTCTTCACACATTCCACATATGATTGAGAGAATTAAATGTCAGTAATTGGTGAAGCCCTAACAAGACTACAATGTTGTATCTTGTAATTATACAACAGAAAAAGGTATTTCTTCTTGGGTTCATTTGTGGTTCAGTTGCTGAACATGGAGATACTGAATTTTTATAAGGATTTGCAGCCTGAGGATATTTTTTTCATTTAATTTGATAGGTTACATTTACTAATTCCAAATCATAGATAAATCAGGAAAAAGATTTGTCACCAGATTAGAAATTTACTTTACTGTGTTTTTAATGTTGACAGCCAAGTTGCACTTTATAATAAAATATTTAAGCAGAATAACTTTACCTATTGAAAAAATTGTCTCCCTCTCAGTGTTGATGCAAAGCTCTGGATAAGTGCACTACAGTATGTCATATTGCCTTGAGTGTTCAAGGAGAGCCATTTTCATAGTTTTAGTTTGAAGGTAAGAATGTGATTTGTATATTTCTTTATTTAATTTTACTATGTAGATCTAACTGTAAGACTGAAGCATGTTTATATTAAAGTTATTGTTTGAATCTGTCTAAAGATTTAAAAGTTTATTATTATTAATGTTCTGGAGAAGTAATAATCTGGTTTTACAGTCATCCAGTAGAAATTGGATTCCAAGAGAGACGTGAAACAAACATTTCTTAACCATGTTTGAATTTTAAAAACTGCAAATCAATTAAAAAAGACTTTTGGTATATGCTTCTTACAGCTATTGTGAATGGATGTGAATTGTGTAATCATATAGTTTGTTAAATGCCATACAAATATATTTGCTCATTAAGTTTAACTATTTATATAGATACCTAGTATTTCATATTCAGGATTTTTATGTGAAATTCACTGAGAGAGGTGCATAGCAAGAGCGAGCCTCCCATTGCAGGAAAGTTAGATATTGATGAAACAAATTCTTGCAATGTAGATGTTAGTGATAATGTTTATCATAAAATTTGTAAGCAATAGACGAAGTGATCATCTGTGTTATTTAGCAGTAAAATGTAGTTTCATGCCAAAATGGTTTACAGTATCTAATGCAGCAGCAAGTGATTGTTGTTCTCCAGTTGTGTGTTAATGAAATTCTAATAATTATATATATATATATATATATATATATATATATATATATATATATATATATATATATATATATATATATATATATATATATATATATATATATATATATATATATATATATATATATATATATATATATATATATATATATATATATATTATATATATATATATATATAATTATAATTCAGGTGTGAGAATGAGTGTTGGTCTCGTACTTTAACAAGTACCTGTGTCCTGTGTGATTTTTATATTATTCTGCAGTTTTCCTTGTCAGGTCCGAATAATACATGAACCATTTTTTAGGAATGTTTTCATTATAAAACCTTCAATTAAAAATCTGCCGTTAACAATAATCTTAGTTGTATTATGTCATTGTAAGACTGGTAAACAAATAACAGCATGGTTATAATAAAGTGCCAATAGAGCTCAAACAATTGAGAGAAAATATAGGCTACGGAAACATGCTTCAAAAGTGACAACTGCTATTTTGATCATGATGAACTATAAGCTGTTGTTATTTACTTGAGAAAATATGTACAGATGTTTTGTTAAAGTAACAGAACAAAACATGCAAATGGAATATAAAAATAATTATGCACTAGTGGTAAATTCCACATCTATTTGGTGCTGAATAGTGATCCATAGTAGATCAATCTTGCAAGTTCTTATTTGATGGATTGCAATTTATTTATGCATGCACAATGATGCAAATAGTTGGAAGAATAAATGAAAGTAACATCTAGAGTACTAAATATTCTCGAGAGAATAATAATGAGGTTGACGAAGGGCAGCAACAGACTAAAGTGATATTAGGGAAAGGATAATAATGAAAAATAAAACTAGGAACATGAACATCTGACTACATAACAGTAGCTTAATAAATTGTCAGTTTAAACCCCACAAATAAGTCATTAAATACCACATTTGATAACATGAGGCTGATGAAAGTACTCATCCATTGGGCATGCCCTTGGATAGGTAAGTGTACAGTATATTGTGTGTAACCTGTTATGTAAAGAGGGTTACTGCAGTTATAACCAGCAGTTTGTATGTTCATGCATCATAAACAAAAATGCATGACCTTTACATTGTGAAAACTGAGAAATTGAGTGGTCAGAAAAACCACTTAAATACAAATTAATTTAAATTTAATAACAAAAAATTACTTTAACACCTGAATACAAATGTCTGTACACTTTATAATATTTAAGAGAAAAATGAAGTAACACTTATTTCAACATGATTAGACAGGTACAAAAATGCAATATACAAGGGCTACACAGTATACAGTATATTAGTCATAAAAAATACAACTATTGGAATGTCTATTTCTAGAAATAGATGTTCAAAATACAGTACATTAAAAATACAACTATTTCACTAGAAGAGGTAGTGTGTTCTTGCTATAAGAACCCGGACAGACTTTACCAACTGTCAGGGCTAGTTACCTATGAGAATACATCCTCCAGACGTCTAGACACCTGGCAGCAGTGGCGGGTTTGCCTCGCAACGATCAACCGGCAATGAAACTAACAATGGCATCATCCATGTGGGGTACAAAGTTCTGAGTAATCCTACACAATTGTGTTACACAAAATGCCATACAATATTAATATAATGAATCTTGACCTAAATTTATACAATACAATAGATAATTGTCCCTGTGGTGCAGTGGTAAAACACTTGCCCAGAGCTTTGCGAGTGCTTTTGCCTGGGTTTGTATCCTGCCCGGGAAGGGTTGACTGGGTGCCAAACCTTGACTGTTACCTCTGTTCACCCAGCAGTGAATGGATATCTGTGGTTAAACGATTTGGGGGGTCATATTCAGGGGTAAATTAGGATTAAAGACCAGTCCAAAATGCAATGCGTGCTAGTTGCTTTGCATAACTGTAAGAACTCTTGTGTATATTCATTCATTCTCTTTCTTTCGGTCTCTCTCTCTTTTTCTGTCTTTTCTTCCCCCCCCCCCCCCCCCCCCCCCCCCCCCTCTCTCTCTCTCTCTCTCTCTCTCTCTCTCTCTCTCTCTCTCTCTCTCTCTCTCTCTCTCTCTCTCTCTCTCTCTCTCTCTCTCTCTCTCTCTCTCTCTCTTCTCTCTTCTCTCTTCTCTCTTCTCTCTTCTCTCTTCTCTCTTCTCTCTTCTCTTTCTCTTTTCTCTTTTCTCTTTTCTCTTTTCTCTTTTCTCTTTTCTCTTTTCTCTTTTCTCTTTTCTCTTTTCTCTTTTCTCTTTTCTCTTTTCTCTTTTCTCTTTTCTTTTCTCTCGTCATACAACTTTTGTCAGTTGTATGTGAGTTACAGATGGAGGAAGTTACACAGGGAATAGAACAGTGTAAGAAAGATATGCAACTCATAGATATGCACAAGTGGCCAAGGAGAAGGAAAAATAGACGAAACAGTAAAGGAAGCCAAACACTGCAGCAACCAGGATAAAACAAACATTAAGCTGGAAGTCAGACAGGAACTGGCATCAAATCCTAAACTGGTTCAAAACACAGTTGATCGAAGTCCCTGATAATTTTGGGTTGCAAAGAAAAGGAGATAACATCTAGGTCAGAAAGAGTTGTAGAAGAAGAGAAGGTAGTAAGTAAAATTCTTGGCCTCGTGGAAGGTCTTACAACCATTGACCCCCTCCCCATCCGGCCCGTTGGCGTCATGAGGGGGCTTGGTGGACGGCTGCCGGAGTGTGATGCTCCGTTGGGCAGTCCTCTGGCCTTGCACTCCTGCTGCTGTCTTCTCCAATTATGCCGGATCGCTTTTTCTTTTCCATATGTTTCGTTTCTCCCCCCTCTTCTCCTATCTGCTTGTCGTTTCCTGCAGACCTTTTGCTTGTTTTGGATTATTTCTTTGGACTTCTTCTATTTTGACACCCGGGTGCTTGAGGAGGCATACTCTTGCACCCGTAGAACTGTAGTACCCAACGTCTCGAGCGAGGGGAACCTTTTATTGTCAATCCCCCTTTCGTCGCTGAACCCGATCTCGACGGACTGACAGTTCTTAAGGTGGCGTTTGTGGGGCGTATACTCACGACGCACCCCTAGGGGGCCCCCGGCATGATCGGTGATAGCTTCCTGTTGGGTGTCCTGCCTCTAATTGTGGCTCCATGGTGGGTATGGGGGCACATTCGTGGATGAATTTGTCACTTTTCATCTCTATGTCGTTGAATGTTTCCGTTGTACCCTCTCAGGCTCGTGGGGTGGGCGACCAAGCCCCCGAGTCGGCCTGTATTGGAAGACCAGGCTCTGTAGCTCCCGCTGCGTTGGGCCCCGACCTTGCTCCTCCTTTGACCGTCCTGACTTCTTCCCCTAGCTCCCCTCCCTCCTCTGTGGTTGGATCGAGCCTCCAGCCCCCGGTGGTGACCACTTCGTTCCCTGGTGTGGCTAAGTCTTTCGTTGTGACTACTGCGCCTTTTGACCCCTCTCTCTCTAGGGGTTCTCAACGCCGTTCGCGCCCCAACCGCACTCGCTCGATTCCTTCCCGTGCTGATGCGTATCAGGCCTTGTTTGGTCCTGCTTCATGGGCCAAATACTTTGATCTCCTCCCTCTTGATTCTGCGCCTCCTGACGATTTCTCCCTCCATCGGCATCTTGTAGATTCCGTGGATGCGTCTGTTACTTTCAACCCCACTCGTCTCGGTACACGTGTCGTTGCTGCTCCTTCTCAGGATGCGGCTTCCCGCTTGGCTGCCTTATCTTGCCTTGGCGAGATCCCTGTTCGGGTCTCCAAGAACGTTCAGATGAATGCCAGTGTTGGCACTATTCTCCTCCCACCCCATGTTGCAACCGGTGTTCGGAATCTGCAGGATTGCCACGATGATATTCGGCATATCCTTGATGCCCAAGGCCATTCTGTCCTCCAGGCTGACTCGTTTACTCGTTCCCCTCGTGGTCGTCGCCGTCAACCCCTTCGCGTTGTGAAGATCACCTTTGATGGTCGGACCCTTCCATCCTCTGTCATTCTTGCTGGTGCTAGGTGCTCTGTCCAGGAGTATATTCCTTCTCCTCGACTTTGTAACAAGTGCTGGAGGTTTGGGCATGGTGCCCTCCGCTGCTCTGGGACTGTCTCTCTCTGTCCTTTGTGTGGGAGTGAAGGTCACTCTAAGTCGGAGTGCACTTCTCCCCAAGCTCGCTGCCTCAACTGCGGTGAGGCCCATCCTACCTTCTCCGGTGCCTGTGTCCATTACAAGCTTGAGGCAGCCGTCCTCAACTTGAAGCACCGGGAGCGTTTATCTTTTCCTGAGACGAGACGCCAGGTTCGCCGGCTCCCGCCTTATACTAACATCTCTTATGCTCGCGTGTTGCGCTCTTCCTCTCCTCGTCCTTCCCCCCTTCCTCAGACTCTCAACCGTTTCCGGGCCTTGGACCCTGATACGCCCACTGCCCCCTCTGTTCCTTTGAGTTCTCTCCCGAGGGGTCCCCCTCCTGGTCCTCTGTCTGGGGTTCCCCTTCTTTCAACCCGGTCTGTCATGTCTCCTGTGTCTTCTTCCTCGTCCCCCTCCGATCCTCCTTCCCATCCTCTTCCTCCATCTATCGACTCTCCCCACCGCCTGTCGGTGCAGGCGGATGTCCATCGCTCTCCTAACGGCCGTCGTGTGTGCTCTCGTTCGGCTTCTCCTGTTGAGACACTGGAATCCGTTGCCCGGTACGTAGTTGCTGGGACACCGGTCTCTTTAAGTCAGAAGCGTAAGCCTGGCTCCTCTCCTTCCTCTTCCCCGGCGGGTAAGAAGGCTTCGCTTTCTTCCTCAGCTCCTACTTCTGGCTCTGTTGCTCCTTCCCCTCCCGTTTCAGTGATTGCGCCCCCTGTTCCTGCTATGGAGGTTTCTTTGGCCCCTGCTTCCCTTTCGGTTGCTGCTCTTGCTGGGGTGCGCTCCCCTCTTTCTACTCCCCTCTTCCTGCTGCTGTCCTTGACTGCTCCTCTCCGTTGTCTCCTCCTCTTCCTCCTCCTCCTCCTCCTCCTCCGGACCCCGCCCGCCCACCTCTGATCTGTTCTCCCGTTTCCTTCCCTCCGTCTTTGCTCAGTTTACCCATGCCCCCTAACCCTGACTTTGCTGACCCTGATCCCGACCCTGATGTTCTTTAACGTGCTCTGTTGCTCTTTCGCCTTTGTTTCTTCCTTGTTCTCTGTTTTTGTCCTTTCTCTTCTCGTCGTTGTCCATTCTTCAATGGAACGTTCGAGGTTATTATGCCAATTTCCTCGAACTCCAACTTCTGATTTCGCGGTTTTCGCCCCTTTGTGTCTGTCTCCAGGAGCCAATGCTTGGTGCTCGTCCTGGTCGTTTTCGTGGCTATTCCTTTCTCTCCCCCCCCCC